AAACCAGAGGGGAAGTCTGAAACTTGTGATGTCATAAAGTCTGGAGCTGCTCCATGACACTCAGTGCGTTTCCATGATGTCAGAGAAAATGAAGTTATTTTGTCAGACTGACTAAAACCCGACTGAAATGGTCCTGCAGTGAACTTGTCACAGTGGGACTAACACACCCAGATCATGTGACTCCTGCATGTATACAGTCAATCAGACCCAAACTGGCCGAGGCGCTCTGAGCATGCTCCACAGTTTCCGCCCCGGGCTTTGACCCGGAAGTCCAATAGCATTAAATGTGTAAGAGAAGAAGAAGCCGGTAACAACATGGAGAAATCTACATCCAGAGCCGTGACTTTTTGGACGCACCAAATGTACAGAGCTGTAAAGTTGTCCACCATGGTAGCAGTTAGCTGCTAGCTAACCGTAACTTGTTTGTCCATTGTTTGGTCTGTGATGTAATAGGTCAACAGGAAAAAGGTCCAATACTAACAAGCTGAAAGGGGGCATATCTCCACCTATCGTAGAGGAGTCGCACATACTTGGCTCAATAAATGGATTCCCCTCCCGTGCTTGTATACTGGGACAAGGACAGTAGGCCAGTTAGATGTCCTCGTCCAGCTGGAACTGTAGAAACACTTCACTACATCCTAAATATGACACACTGCTCCTTTAACTCAAAGACACACTGTTTCTGAACTTCACAGTCTGTTCTGTGGTTCGCTCATTTTGAGACAGACTCTGTTTGTAAAGTTCACATCCTCTATTTACAGTGACACAGCCAATGAGAAAGAGGAGTGACGCGGCTGACTTTGCTTCATTTCATGTAGTCACAAACCCAAAAAGTTTCCACAACACGGATCCCAATCAGGAGCCGAAGAGCAGATTGGATCCATCCATCAAACTGACTGAAGCTGCTCACTCGCACACACACACACACGCACGCACACGCACACACACACACACACACGCCTCTTTTTGTGTATTCACCTTCTTCATCCCCTTTAAAAGCATTTCTTTCTCTTCTTCAGTGAGCTGTCAATCATCTGTCGTTTCTTTCTTGAACACACACACAGCTTTAGAAAAGCAAATGACACACACACATCAGAAGACCTCACACACACACACGCGCACACACACTGTCACACAATAACACACCACCTTGTTATCAGCCTGCCTGAGTTGTGTGTCGTCGACCAGCTGCATCACAAAGGTGAAGACTGGAGATAGTTGAGGTTTAAAGCTCTGCTGCTGTTCAGCCTGCATGCTAATGTTAGCATCATCATCTCAGACTGATGCTAACACAGAACAGAAAACTGTCAGTAATAATCCTGATGTGTAGCCTGATAACACACACTGCACTCACATAAAGTGCAATTCATTATTTAAACTTGTCAGCACAGCCATGTTTCTTAATTAGCACACTTGTATGGTTGCACTTGTTTAAAGAGTTAATACTTTTTAGTTTTTACATCAGTACCTGTGGCTGATATTTATCTGTGCACGGCTTTCATCCTCCAGTGAAATTTAAGGTGTGCTGATGGATTCACGTCATCAACTCATGCATTGAGTAACATTACAAGTTAACGTTCCACCTTAAAAGTTGCCGGCAGTCGGCCCAGTGAATGAAGTTATTTTTTTCTCTTTCATTTTATAGTTGTAGTTTACTGATGTATGAACAGAGGTTACATAAAACCAGAGTGAGCGTCCTCTACTGACCAATCAGACTGCAGGGTTTCTAGCTCCACCTTTTAGTACCAGATCTGTGTGCTAGGTACCCCAACAGAGGGGGGACCAAACATGGGGACGCTAAGGAACGCTTCTGTTGGTACCATCCACAACTTTCACTGTGGGAACAGAAACAATGCCAAACTGAACTGAACTGAACTGAACTGAACTGAACTGCTTGGTGGAAACAGGGCTGTAGAGACAGATGACCATTCACAAAGCATCATTTTTTCCCTCTGGTGCGACCAAATGAACCGAACTATAGGTGTGAAAGCACGCTTATAAAAATGAAAAAAAAAAAAAACACCACAAAAGATCATGCTGCTACAACTTATTTTCTGATGAAACTGCAAACTAGTGAGGGTAAAATGAAGCGTGAGATGGATCGGTGGTTTGGCACGGCGTCTGCACTGATGCAGGCGCTGCGACAGACTGTGTGGTTCAGAGGGAGCTGAGCCAGAAGGCGAAGGATTTCCTGGTCCATCTCCGTCCCAACCCTCACCTATGGTCATGAGCTCTGGGTAGTGACTGAAAGAATGAGTTCACAGATACAAGCGTCTGAAATGAGTTTCCTCTGTTGGGTGTCTGGGCTCAGCCTTAGAGATAGGGGGAGGAGTCAGACATCTGGAGGGAGCTCGCAGTAGAGCCGCTGCTCCTTCACATCAGAAGGAGTCAGTTTAGGGGCCGTACACATGATGTGTTTTTAGTACCCTCGAATTCATTGTTTTCAATGAAGGCACGCTCAAACGCCAGAGTGACGCCGTTGCAGCGCTCTGCACTCTGAGATAAATCGAGTTCAACTTTTGGAACACAGCAGTGTGCCGCATGTCATGTGACGAGGAACAACCAATCACAGCTGACAGATATCTTTCCCTTCATCTGTGAATATCAGTGTGTGATAAATATGGAGGAGAAGTTGATCATGTTAGTGCAGAGCTTTCAGAGCGTCACATCTGTCCCACAGACGACAGGCCTACACACTTAGAATCAGAATTAGAAATACTTTATTGATCCCTGAGAGGAAATTATTTATGTTACAGGTGCTCCTTGCAAGAGAGGAAAGATACGAGAAAATATGAGAAATTTAAACAATAGTATTTACAAATATATAGTTAAATAAACAGGAATTATTA